TACTAAATTGTAGTACAATTTGAATTTGGAGAAACGGATGGAGGTGGAATCCTGATAGTGATAGGAGGAGTGTAGGATTAGGATTAGGATATGGAGGTAGTTTTCAAAATTTGTAACTATGTGAACAAATAGTACTAAATCGATTTGGATGAACTGATAGAGCTAGAATTCTGAAATTTAGAAATAAGATTACTATTGCATTATAGGACTGAAGAATGTAGGTGGCTTTGGAAACTTATGTGTAATAAATGGTACTAAATTTGGTACAATTTAAATTTTTGGGAGAACCGGTAGAGTTTAAAACCCGAAAATTGGAAATAAGAATTCTTTGGGATTGTATGATGTTTGTAGTTATGGAAATTTGTACTTATGTGTACTAAATGGCAGTAAATCTGGTACAATTGGTTCTGTACTAAATGGTACGGCATTTAGAACAATTTGGATTAGGGTGACCGGTAGAGTTTAAAACCCGAAAATTGGAAATAATATTTCTTTGGGATTGTATGATATAGGTAGTTATGAAAATTTGTACTCATGTGTACTAAATTGGTTCTGTACTAAATGGTACGGCATTTGGAACAATTTGGTTTAGGGTGAATGGATGAAGCTGGGATATAGAAATTTTGTATTGGAGTCCCTGTTGGTGGTAGGTTTATGATAAAGAGATGGCCTTGGAAATGTATACGACCAGCGCACGAAAAGTACTAAATGGTACTATATTTGGTACAGTTAGGTATTGTGTGAACAGATAGTGCTTAAAATCTGGAATTTGGTATTATGGTCGTAGCCTGAACATATGGAGGTGCTTTCCGCAATATGTACTATAATTGTACGAAAAGTACTGAATGGCACTATATTTGGTATTGGGTAAAGGGAAAGAGATAAAATTATGAAAATTGATACTTAAATAACAGTAGGAATCTGAGTTTGAAATTTGGCACAGTTTGGTATTGGGTGAACGGATAGTGAATGCGGATTGAACTTTTGTATAAGGATCGCTGTTCATATGTAGCCTTGACATATGGAGGTGGTTTTAGAAGTGTTAACAAGAAGTGCATGAAAATTAAATTGAACTAAATCTGGCATAGGCTAAAGCGATGGAGCTCTTATGTTGCGATAACTGTTTGTGTCTTAGTTTGAGGTATGGAACGGTTTTGCAAATGAGTACTAAAATTATACTAAAATCACTAAATGTTACTAAATTTGTTATTGAGTGAATCTATAGAGCTGGAATCCCGAAATTCGGTATTGAGATCTGTTGGTATCTGGTGTTGAGATATGAAGGTAATTTCGGAAATGTGTTCTATAAATTTACGAAATGTACTGAATGGTTCTAAATTTGTTATTTGGTGAAGCGGTAGAGATAAAATTCTGTATCTGAGGTTGAGATTTGACGGTGGTGTATGAAAACATGGTGTACGAAAAATACTAAAAAACGGTGATGGCGGTGTATGAGAGCATGGTGTACGAGAAATACTTAATTTGGCATTTAGTGAAGGCATAGGTCCGGAATTCTCAAATTTGATATTGAGGTCTTTGTTGGTATCTGGAACAGGGATATGTAGGTAGTTTTTAAAAATATGCACTATAATTGACAAAAAGTAATAGATGGTACAAAATTTTGTATCGGGTCAAGGGATAGAACTGGAATCCTGAAATTTGATATTGTGGTCTCTGTTGGTATCTGGAATTGAGAGGTAGAGGTGATTTTTGAAATGTGTACTATAATTGTTCGAATTGCTGAAATCCGGAAATTTGATATAGATATCCCTGTTGTTATCTATTTTTTTTTTTTTTTGAGATAAGGGCCTGGATTTGGATATGTGTACTATAATTCTACTAAATGGTACTAATTTTGATAGTGGGGGAATTTCGAGAGTTGCAACCATGAAATTTAATATTGAGGCCCCTGTTGGTATCTGAATTTGAGATATAAAGTTAGTTTGGGAAATGTATACCATAATTGTACGAAAGGTACTAAATAGTACTAAATTTTGTATTGGGTGAAGGAATAGAGCTGAAATCCTGAAATTTGATATAGATGTCACTGTTGGGATCTGTGGTGCAGAGAAGGAGCTGGTTTTGAATATTCGTACTAAAATGGTATGAAATTGTACTAATTATGGCAATGGGGGGATTAAAGAGCTGCAACCATGAAATTTAATATTAAGGCCTTATCTGGATTTGAGATGTAGTTTTGGTTTGGTTTCGAAAATTATTAAATAAAATTATTTTTTCACTTTTGTTTGCAATTTATGTTTGTCAAGGTATATTTGAAATCTGATGCGAATAAACATTCAAAAATATTAGAATTTATCTCTATTGATATTTGAAATAGCCAAAATATTTTGCTACGATGGATAATCGAATCTTTCCATACATTTATTTATTTATTTTTTATTTTTGTGTTTGTAAAGTATACAAACAAGTGCCCAAAAATATCTCCACCGTCCAAACGTAAATCCAAACAAATTGAACAGCGTCATGCCAAAGAGACCGACAAATAATAATAATACGGAACAAATAAAAATAGATATTCATAATCGGTCAGTACAAACGGAGCGATAAAACAAATCCAAAATAGAAAAACAAAAACGACGACGACAACAACAAGAGAGTAGCAAACAAATGGCAAAATTAATATCAGGCGACCCTGTCGCTCATGGCATGTCACTGATCTGACGATGGTGGTTGCGGTGCCGATGGACCCCATGAAAAAGATTATGGGTACAGGTTTTTTTAAATAAATGGAGAAGTTGTTTAGTGTGAGGGGGTGTCTATGGCTCTAAGTCATATATTGAAAGAGCTACTCAAGATGCCAGTAATTTTTGCTTAGTTTATTTTTATTTGTCCGAAAAACCAAACTTGCTGCCAACGATTGTCTAGCTGGCTAAAAATAAATATTTTATTTTTTTTTTTGCAATTTTTTCGAAGATAAAAAAATTTTACCATTACCACTGACGGAAGCAGGCAATGGAAGGAGACCAATATTTAAAAAAATATATTATTATATAACAATAAATATATTATTATAACAAAAATTCAACAGCATCGGTCCACAAAAGTGTATCTCATTGACCTTGCAGAGAGCATGTGCCCCGGCGAGCGAGTTTGTAGAGGAGATTTATTTTTTTGTTTCGTACTTGCAAATTTTCGTCGTCATCGTTGTTGTTGTTGTTGCAATTTCGGTATTTTCGTTGAGTTTGTTTGATGGTCGTATTTGAATGAATCTATTGAAATTTGATTAAAGCCAAACACACAAAGCGGTGTTGAATTCATATTTTGTGGAGATTGAAAAAAATACCATAAGAAGCTTATTGCCCGCCGGGGTTTCACTTAATAACTATTATACCGATTTCAAATTGAATATAAATCGTGATTTAATTGAAGACGATGGATGGATGGTTGCCTTATAAGAGGATTACGAGGAAGAGTCTGGTTTTTTTATACTGACTGGTTTTAGCTAGAAGATTTATGGGGAAATATGTTTGAAGGCGGATTGATTGCCATTGTCATATCGGACATATAACACTATGCAACAATTTTCTGTTGGTGGTCTGGGGTGTAAAAACCCCCGAGTTTAGGTAACGGTATGAGATCTAAAAAGCAAAGTTCAAAACGTTCTAGGATTCGTTATACCCTCAGCCATATGGCTAGAAAAGATATATATAATTTTATTCGCCCAAAACGTGACTGATCCAAATAACGGTTTTAGACCAATTCCTTTTCAGGACATTTGAAGTCGATCTAAGCGTGTCCATCCATTTGTCTGAGAGTATCCGATTTAGTACAAACGTTGTTCATCGGAATATTTTTATCGGACTTAGATCGAGTTCGGAGATGTCCAATATTGGTCCACTCCTTCTAGTACCTCCCCCACAAAGGTCGACATGTTTAAATGACATTTTCCAATTTTCCTCCAACTTTGCAAGTCTTAATATTGTCATAAGTTCTAGATCAGGTGCGAAAATGGATAATCTCGGTCCCTTTTAGGCCTTAGGTTTCTTTGGAACAAATTCGTTTTAGAACATTTGGAGTAGATGTAGCGATGTCCGCCCGTCCCTGTGGTTGGTGCGCAGGTAGTATCCGATTTGATACATCGTAATATTATTATCAAAGTTAGATCGAGTTCGGAGATGAGCAATATCGGTCCACTCTTCTGATAAATTACCTCATTAAAGAAAATAAATTACCTCATAGAGCAAGAAAGGATCATCCAATTGTGTACAAACTTTGCAAATCCTAATATTTGCATCAGTTCTAGGTCAGGTAGGAAAATGGATTATCGGATTAAGTACCTCAGCCAAAAAGGGTCAACATTTTGAATAATTACAACTCTTAGAAAATGTGTTATAAGAGTCCGATTGTCTTCAAATTACACACATCACAATATTTTTAATAACCCAAGGTCTGGAGTGAAAATGGAATACATCGTCCATTCCGGTACCTATCTCAAAAAGGGTCAACATTTTGGATATTCATGAAGCTCTTAAAACACGAAATTAACATCCGATTTCATTTAGACTTGGTACATCTTAATATTTCAACACATTATTTGTTATAAAGACTGTAGAGATCGGACCATTCCTTCTGGTAACTCCCCCACAAAGGTTCAAAGTTTTGAATAACCAAAACTATTATAAAATCCGAAAATCCATCATATTTCACAAATCCCATTATTTTTACTAACAGAAGATCTGCTGTGAAGATGTGATATATCGGTCCACTCCTTCAGGTACCTTCCCCACAAAGGGCCAAAGTGTTGAATATCCATGAAGCAAAAATAATGCTGGTATTTTAATCGATAGTAATAATTTATTTTTTACTTTTTTTTTTAAATATATATTCTTTCTACATCTACAAATAATCTACTTTAAATTAGTGGTAGAAATTTTGAGAAGTCAATAATGAGGATGAAGGTTAGTTGGATTGCTAGATGGTGGTGAATTTTTGCAAGTGTACCAATTTATATTTTTATTTAAATAATTAAATTGGTTTACCTTAACTGGTGTTGGTGATCTTGAAGGAATTCTTAAAGAATTTTTATCCTTCATTATATAAGAACTCTTGTGCTAAAAATAAAACAAAAAAAGAAGAAGAAAAATTAAAAATCAAATAAAAATTAAAAAATATTGTCAGGGGTTATTTGTACAGAATTTACATATGATACTTAAATTTAGATTACTAAATTTCCATATAAAGATATTTAGAGAAGATTGAATATATCGGTCTACTCCTTCTGGTACCTCCCTCACAAAGAGTCAACATTTTGAATATTCATGTATTAGATGAAGCATGAAAATGGAATACTTCCTTCGACTATATCTGGTACCTCACCACATTTTAACATTTTCTAAAAATTTTCACATATCTCATATAAAGTGAAGGAAGTAACCAATATAGTCCGAGCCCGGCAAGTCGCAATGTTTATATCACATTTATTTAGGTCCGATACGAATTGGAAAATTTTGGCTCATTCCTTCGAAACCTACTCCATAGGGGGTTTAAACTTTGAATGATCACAACAGAAGTCAAAATATATTTAAATTATCGAACATTGGCTGAGAGTATACATCTGTCGGCAAAAGCGACTGATACTTTTTAACTTGTTTTAGTTTAAAATATCTTTTGGACGCCTAAAAGTATGCTATGAAAATGCTTAAGATGAAAATGACAGAAAAAAACGTTATAAATGTCTCCAACATGAAATGTAATCGGGACTCTAGCAAGTAAATTCAAATAATTATTAACAACTTGTCGCATTGCCCTTTAATATTTTCCATTTTAACAAAATCGATTTCATATAAGTCAGAACTCAACAAATTGTATTTTGAAAAAAAAAAAAAACAGTCAATACGGCATAAAGTGGTTTGGATTTACATCTGTCGACTTTAATTATCTGTGGCAAAGTCCAGGCATATCTAATTGATCTCCCATTAATATTTCTATATACATGCCAGCCTTAGTCCAGACCAACGTATTTATGTTAAGTTTCTCACATCTGATAATTTTCCCTACCCCTAAACATTGCAATCTTAAGAACCTCCCCATTTAAATCACGCATTTCTTTTCATCTCATAAAACCGATGCAAAGAAATAGAAATGTCTGCACTTCATCAGCTGTAGCTTAACACTTTTAACGCAATACAAGTGCATACTTTTAGGAGGGCCACTCTTGAACAAAAAAAAATACAAACAAAAGCATATGGCTTAGGGTAATGTTAAATATATGAAACGATGTCCCCCACAGCTTTTAGGGGAGCTTTTTATTATTTTTTTTACAATTGAACTACATAATACATACATAAAAATACATACATATTTAAATGTCATATATGTATGTATATTTGTTCATATCCATTATTTCAAGCGACCATGTGAACAATATTTTAAAATGTTTTTTTTTTTTTTTTTTTGTTATTCTCAAGTATATCAACCTAAAAGTATGCAATATTATTGATTTTTGTTTCCATGTTAAACGCTCAATAAAACATACATTTGGGCGAGAATAACAGATATAGAGGCAGAGAGAGAGAGGGCAATAAAAGCAATTGTGTGGAAATATGTATTGTATGGAAAATACGGTAGGGGTTTAATGAAAACCCCAAAAAGAAAAAAAAACAAAATAAAAAAATAGTCAGTGATTTCAACCCCAAAAAAAATTAAGAATAAAACAATGCACGAATAGTGTTGAGGACATGGAAAAAACCAAGCTATGATTATGTTGCACTTGGAGAAAAGTCGTGCTTAAAAACACATGGCTCTAAAATTTGTCAGTCACTTGTCCATGATCCAAAATCCCATATTTACATTAACATTTGCATAGCTGTGGGTCTTTAAAAAAATATTCTTATATTTGAACTATATCGAAGCAGTAATTTTATGAAATATGTGATGATCTCCGGAAAATGTTGAAATATGCGTGAGGTACCATATGTTGCGGACAGAAGTATTCCACATCATCTAATATTGATAAATATATTGGTATGCGCAGCCTTTACGGAAAATCGAATATTCCAATTTTATGCGAACAATCAAAATGTTGAACTTTTGTAGGGAAGGCACCAGAAGGTGTTGGCCAATAAATTCCATATTCACTTCAGATGTCTGGCTTAGAAAAATATTAAGACACACCAAGTTTGACTTGTAGACGTAGATATACAGGATGAAATGAAAAAACTGCAACCAACTTCAGACTGCTGTCATTTCTAAGCCACTCATCCGACAACTGTTAAAATGGACGGAAGCAATACAGCAATATCAGCAGAAATGGTTCGAAAAGTAAAGAAGCGACTTGATCGAAACCTGCGTCGCAGTGGCCGAAAAATGGCTCGTGAGCTGAACATTTCGCAATATTCCATTTGAAAAATGATCTTGGGGTAAAGCCATTGAAATTCCAAAAAATGCAAGAACTTACACCGCAACATCAAGAAAATAGACTCACAAGAGCTAAAGAGTTGCTTCACTTGGCCGAAAGTGGTGAACTGCCGAATTTGGTTTTCTCCGCTCCAATGAGAAAACATTCGTTGTCCAGCAGTTTTTAAACAAACAAAATGATCGTGCACCTTCGGTTGGCCACCAGAACTTAAGCGCCGGCCATGGTGATGATGTGGGCCGCCTTAAAAGCCGATGGTTGCTCTCCGCTCGTATTAATCGACCATGGCATCAGAATAAATGTCGAATATTATCGCCAAAATATTCTGGAGGATGCATTAAAAACTTGGGCACGCAAACATTTTGGCCGCAGACCTTGGACATTCCAACAGGAATCAGCATCATAGCACTCAGCACGCGCCTCCCAAGAATGGTTACAAAATGAGGTTCCTCGCTTTATTTCCAGCGCCGAATGGCCACCAAAATCTTCTCCGGATACCAATCCGTTTGAATATTGTATCAGGAGTATTTTGTAAAGCAAGGTTGGCACTAAAAAATACCAAAGTGTCGATCACCTCAAGCAACCGCTTCCCCGGGAATGGGGCAAAATACCACATTCGGGCAGCGTGTGAAGGTTTCATTGACCCTTTGAAGGCCATAATTCGTGCCAAAGATGACCATTTCGAACAAATCTAAACTTATTCTAAAATTCGGTGCTATTTCCGACATTTTTTGCTTTCAATAAAATTAAAAAAAAATGTAAAAATTATGTCGTTTGACTTTATTGAAGTTTTTTTTATCTCACCTCTATTTGGAGCTCAGAATGGGTTTTTATACCCTCCACCATAGTATGGAGGATATATTAAGTTCGTCATTTCGTTTGTAACACCTTGAAATATACATTTTAGACCCCACAAAGTATAAATATATTCTTGATCAGCATAAAATACTATGTCGATTTAGCGATGTCCGTCCTTCTCCCCGTCTGTCCATTCGTGAAAATCACTATAGCTTCCGAACGAAATGAAGTAGATTATTAAAATTTTACTCAAATGTATATTGTGTCTGCAGGACTTTTGGTATTGGGCCATGTAGGTCCATGTTTTCGTATAGCCCCCATATAAGGGTACCTCCCTATATTCGGTCTTTTTGTTGATTTTAGCGACATTTATCACTGGAATTGTTTCAAATTTGGTATTTGAAGTTCGAAATGGATACTACAGCCTAAGACAGAAAATTGTCTGCGCACGTCCACGTCTTCGTATAGTCCCCATATAACGGTACCTCCTGATATTCGGTATTTTGATGATTTTAGCGACATTCTTCACCGGAGTTCTTTCAAATTTGGTATTTCATGTTCCTAATGGATACTACAGCCTAAGACAGATAATTGTCTGTGCAGGTCCACGTTTTCGTATAGCCCCCATATAACGGTACCTCCTGATTTTCGGTACTTTGTTGATTTTAGCGACATTATTCACCGGAATTGTTTCAAATTTGGTATTTGAAGTTCGAAATGGATACTACAGCCTACGACTGAAAATTGTCTGTGCAGGTCCACATATAACGGTACCTCCCGATATTCGGTACTTTGTTGATTTTAGCGACATTATTCACCGGAATTGTTTCAAATTTGGTATTTAAAGTTCGAAATAGATACTACAGCCTACGACTGAAAATTGTCTGTGCAAGTCCACGTCTTCGTATAGCCCCCATATAACGGTATCTCCTGATATTCGGTAGTTTGATGATTTTAGCTACGGAATTGTTTCAAATTTGGTATTTAAAGTTCGTAATGGATACTGCAGCCTAAGGCTGGAAATTGTCTATGCAGCTACACATTTTTGTATAGCCCCATATAATAGTAGTAGATTTTAGCTTCATTATTCACAGATAATGCTTTATGACAAAAGTGGCCTATGCAGGCCCACATCGCCGTTTAGACCCTATTATGAAGGCTGAATTTGGTTTGGATTTTATCTTATTTTATTTATTTATTTATTATTATTATTTTTTTTTTTTTTTGAAAATTGCCAAATTCGTTCCAAATTGTGAAGGGTATTCAATGTTCAGCCCGGCCGAACTTACAGCTTTTTTACTTGTTTTTTCCTTGATTTTACCCAAAAAATAGGGTTGCTTCTTGGTCAGACCGTCATAATCTTTATGCAATATAATATGGGTCTTTGAGAAAAATATTCAAGAAAAGCCGGACTTTTAAAAAATAAAAAAAAATGGAGATAAATAAATTTGGATTCTCCAAAGAGAATACTCCCTCTTTCGAGACCACTTATTTTTGGTAATTGAATTTTCTTCTCAGTGTGCATTAAACAGATGATTCCAAATAGCCTACATGGCTGCCTAGTTCGTTGAATTGCTAGGCTGGCCGACTGGCTGTCTGGTGTGGGTGCGAGGATTTTGATACCCACATTAAACATAGATGAGCAAGCATACGACCATAGAAGAAACCACAGCAAAATATGCCCCAGGTTAAGCTACCTATTTGGAACAGCCATGCATACGAGTACATACATACATATGTGTCGACATATAAAAAAATAGTTGCTACACTGATTACACTCTTTGCTCTGGTTTGGTCTGCTCCGTTTTTCATTTTTTTTCGGGGGAAAAACAATGGAAAATATGTAGACCACCAACATTTTATGGGTCTGTGCATTGTTTTCTGCTTTTTTCTGCTCCT